ACGACCTATAGCGTCGTTCGAATAATATTTTGATTATTTGATAACGTTATGATTTGTGCGTGTAGTCTACAATATTTTATTTTTAACATAACAATTAGTCGTTGAGTCATTCTTTGTTGTAGTTTTATATAGTAAGTGTTAACTCCTAATGCTTTTGATATCGATTATTAACTTTGGCAGTTATTAGCGTATTAAGTTTCACTTGTTGGTGAGTTAACGACTATAATTTAATTTCTTATCACACATTAGTTATTTATTTTACACACATCACCAACCAGCTGTATTTTTTTTTTTGTGACTTAAACGCTCCTGTTATTGTTTCTCAATTGTACGCTGTATCAGCATTACCGGTTGTGATTTTGGTTGCGTTTTTATACTTTTAAGGAGTATATTATATCGAACATCATTATGAGTCCAAATAAACCTCAAAAAGACACTACAAAAGTTACTACTCGGTCTTCTCTAACTATCTCCTCTGAGAGGTCAGTGAATGCATCGTCCAATCGAGCTGACATGAGTAATAAAACCAATATGATCTCAAATGAAGACTGATGGTTCTGTTAAAGGACTTAAAGGATGAAGTATTATCTTCCAATAAGGCAATGTCTGAAATGCAAGCTTCGCAATACAAAGACTTCAATGCTGACTCGTTGCGGGTTTCTGATCAAATGACTGAATTGAAGAAGGAAAATACTAGGCTTAGTAAAGAAATTGATGCATTGAAAAGTAAAGTTACAAGTTTGAAAAATTCAAGCTCAGTTGATACATCACAATCTGTAGTGTTACCCACTAACTACAAGTTATCCAAGAAATATTTGCGCGTGAAAAATGTCAGTCTAATTTGATTATATACGGAGTTCCTGAATCTACGTCGACGGTTGTAACAGAGCGAATAGCTCATGACAAATTGACAATTGACAATATTCTTGTTTCACTTCCAAGTGCTGGTTCCCTGAACTTATAACTTGTCCACCTTGGCAAACTCCGGGTAGATTCAACCCGCTCTATAAAAATTATTTTAAATAGTAAAGGAGATGCTTTATGCTTATTATCTGAGTTTAACTCTGCAAAGCACTCTGGTACTACATTTCATGATAATTTTCGAATGGTTAGTGATAGAACCCCACTTCAACGAAAATTGTTGCGTTCCTGTTATATAGAGCTTGAATGAAGAACTAAAGATAGTGAATCTGGACTACGTATAAATTATGAAGATGAATTGCTAAAAGATGTTGTCAACCATTCAAAAAACGGAAGAATACGTCAACGGCAAGCAGTTAACCATTCTTAGCAACACCTCTATGTAATGGCTCAATATCTGGATTCTATCAGAACTGCCGTGGTTTAAGGAAAAAATTATTTAACTTTAACTGTAATGTATCATCTTTAAATTGTACTTTCATTGTTTTAACTGAAACATGGTTAACCGATAACTTTTTTGATTCTGAAATTAGTTTAATTAACTATAATATTTTTAGGTGTGATAGATTGATTGGGTTGGGTTGGGTTGGATCAATTGTTTTAAACAATCGGAACTATATAAACATTAGTGAACACTTTGTATATTACTCTTTAGTCGGTAGAAAAAAACGAAACTAGGAGATTTAGGACCGTGTAAATAAAGACTACTAATCTAAACTTAAAATAATAACATATTATTGAAAACGTGTACATTTGATTTTATTTAAGTAATACACTGGCACGTTCGGCAGTAACGGTCAGACCCGTTCGGATTTTACAATGT